TGACTAATTCGAAAGTTATTCGAGAAAAACTCTCTCCATATTCAGCGCCGCCATTTTGACTTTATCGACCCCTGTGACGTCATCGTTGACCTGACCTGAAAATGACCTTAGTAAAAATTGTAGATCTTGACCGTGCGTATCTGATGCCGTTTACCGCTTGTCGCTATCTTGCTTCGTTCTCGAGATCTCAGGGGGGGGGCGGTCATCCGCCCCCCCCCCCCCCCGTCGGTACTAAGTTGGCGCAGACCCCCGTCGGTGCGCGGGTTAAGCTGACCTCTTCCAAATACAGTTATATCATTACGGTCAACTGGTGACCTCTGTGGTCAGGTCAAATGCCCTGAACCAGGGATTAATTTTCTGTCAATAAATCCCAAATGGTCGCAGCATCGTCATTTCAGTACCTGACACTAATCTGGCACCATCGTGTTTGTGATGCTCCGCCGGGTAGAATGGTGTGCTGATATTTTGGAAAGCTCAGCTTAACGTGCTTACTTCAGGTCAAGGTCAGAACGAAGTCGTTCAGGTCACGAGTCTGGTCGATTGAGATGATTCTGAGTACCTACATTGATGACCCTTCCCTCAATGCCCTCGCCCCTCATTTTGTTTGGAATCAATTGACGAAAAATTATCACATCAAACAGCCTTAGTGACGTCACAAGTGACGTTGCGTTTTTATGTCGTCACGCAAGGTCCAGGAGCAAAACTGAAACATCGGACCTTGCAAAGAATGCGTGAAGTACATTCTCCCCGTAAATAATTGTTGGCAATGAGGGCGTTTCGCTATTGCGACATTTTTAACATTACATAGACTCACTTATTTGACGTAATAGTTTAGTGAATTGACCCTATATAAAGTTCGTTTGGTGTCACAAGCTAACTCGAAGATAAGTTATAATAATAAGTAGTATTGTTTTTTATCTCGACCTTCTCCTTGTTGATAGATAGCCAAATATTAACAGACATAGGTTACATTTGCAGTCGGGCACAGCCCATCATCAGATGTATATTGTTTCAAATACACCAAAAACGATCACAAATACACTTAAATAAATTCATTTTTAACAGCTCGTGAAAACCTTCACCCGATGTCTACTCCTATGCACTGCCAGTGTGCATATTTTAGTGGGCCATCTTTCGAGCAGGAAAACAAAATCGGTGACGGAGTACATACAGTTACATAACATTAAACACCTAACAGGCACACTTTGCACCCCTATATCCTGAGTTACAAAATCGATGCATTGACAGCTATAACACACAATTTTAACACGGCGACGGCAGCAAATTTTCGCACAGTTACACGCTACACAGAATGAGTCGAATCATCACATGGGAATACACAGAACGATCACATGGAGGGGGGAGGGTTAGTCTACCCCATCAGCCGCCAAGATGACAAGTTGTCATTTAACACTGGCTTACGGTCCCTAATGTACAGGGACTCAGATATTTTCCTGTCTGGGTGATCCCTCGTTTTCTTCAGGACCCTCACTTCGATAGGAGGATTGGCGAGCTTGTCAGCTTTGGGTATTCCTTAGTGACGTCACAAATGCCAATCCTCCTTACACGACACACGTGGAGGTCCTGAAGAAAACGAGGGATCACCCAGACAGGAAAATCTCTGAGTCCCTGTACATTAGGGACCGTAAGCCAGTGTTAAATGACAACTTGTCATCTTGGCGGCTGATGGGGTAGACTAACCCTCCCCCCTCCATGTGATCGTTCTGTGTATTCCCATGTGATGATTCGACTCATTCTGTGTAGCGTGTAACTGTGCGAAAATTTGCTGCCGTCGCCGTCTTAAAATTGTGTGTTATAGCTGTCAATGCATCGATTTTGTAACTCAGGAGATAGGGGTGCAAAGTGTGCCAGTTAGGTGTTTAATATTATGTAACTGGTTACTGTATGTACTACGTCACCGATTTTGTTTTCCTGCTCGAAAGATGGCCCACTAAAATATGCACACTGGCAGTGCATAGGAGTAGACATCGGGTGAAGGTTTTCACGAGCTGTTAAAAATGAATTTATTTAAGTGTATTTGTGATCGTTTTTGGTGTATTTGGAACAATATACATCTGATGATGGGCTGTGCCCGACTGCAAATGTAACCTATGTCTGTTGATATTTGGCTATCTATCAACAAGGAGAAGGTCGAGATAAAAAACAATGCTACTTAAATATTATGCTCCTTGCTAAAGCACTTAGAGATAAGTTATAATAACTTTCAGCGCTCTATCGCCATTGCGTCCCTAGCAATGATAAGAAAACCGTCAGAGGCGAATTGTACTCGCTCCCACGGCCACTGCGGTTTAACCTCGCTCTCTTGAGAACAATACGTCATTATGACGTCTTTGACTATTTGGGACCTAGCTTAGCTTGCGTAGGTGTCCTAAGTCTCTTTAGAAAAAATCACCAGAGTTGCAATGAGCTCTCGATCACATTTGACCGTTCTCAGTTCGGACCAGTTGACAGTTATTTTTATTGTTTCCACTGTACGACGAAATTCAATGTTGGATAGCGACCTTAAGAGGAAAAACACCTTTTTAATATTTTCATCATTCAATGGCAATGCGTTGAGAAGACTTTAACTGCAAAAATAAATTGCAAAAAAAGATGGCCACATTCTCAAAATTTGATTTTTACAAATAAATTATATGTAAAGAAATTAAAAATCGAAAAATTTCCAAAAAATTGATATCAAAAAAATATTTGTTTAATTCCAATTGTGGGGATATGCAGTTTTATATGAATCTTATGAGTATTTAGCTAAATATCCGCGGATGAAATTTATAGTTTTTATGGTAGTCATTAAATTGCCTGGGGCAATATCTCCCAAAGTATTCGACGGATGTGATTGAAAATGTCACAACACGAATCGACGGGCTAGATAACCACATAGCCGAAATTTCATTAAAATTGGAAAGGTAGAGTGTTATTTAGCGATTTTTTTGGTCGATTTGTCGTGGAATGCCCCAGCAGCGGGACACAGTACACCGCCGTCTGTGTGTGATCAGAGAGCAGCGGGACACAGTACACCACCGTCTGTGTGTGATCAGAGAGCAGCGGGACACAGTACACCACCGTCTGTGTGTGATCAGAGAGCAGCGGGACACAGTACACCACCGTCTGTGTGTGATCAGAGAGCAGCGGGACACAGTACACCACCGTCTGTGTGTGATCAGAGAGCAGCGGGACACAGTACACCGCCGTCTGTGTGTGATCAGAGAGCAGCGGGACACAGTACACCGCCGTCTGTGTGTGATCAGAGAGCAGCGGGACACCGCCGTCTGTGTGATCAGAGAGCAGTGGGACACAGTACACCACCGTCTGTGTGTGATCAGAGAGCAGCAGGACACAGTACACCACCGTCTGTGTGTGATCAGAGAGCAGCGGGACACAGTACACCACCGTCTGTGTGTGATCAGAGAGCAGCAGTACACCACCGTCTGTGTGTGATCAGAGAGCAGCGGGACACAGTACACCACCGTCTGTGTGTGATCAGAGAGCAGCGGGACACAGTACACCGCCGTCTGTGTGTGATCAGAGAGCAGCGGGACACCGCCGTCTGTGTGTGATCAGACAGCAGCGGGACACCACCGTCTGTGTGTGATCAGAGAGCAGCAGTACACCACCGTCTGTGTGTAATCAGAGAGCAGCGGGACACAGTACACCACCGTCTGTGTGTGATCAGAGAGCAGCGGGACACAGTACACCACCGTCTGTGTGTGATCAGAGAGCAGCGGGACACAGTACACCGCCGTCTGTGTGTGATCAGAGAGCAGCGGGACACCGCCGTCTGTGTGTGATCAGACAGCAGCGGGACACCACCGTCTGTGTGTGATCAGAGAGCAGCAGTACACCACCGTCTGTGTGTGATCAGAGAGCAGCGGGACACAGTACACCACCGTCCGTGTGTGATCAGAGAGCAGCGTGACACAGTACACCGCCGTCTGTGTGTGATCAGAGAGCAGCGGGACACAACACCGTCTGTGTGTGATCAGAGAGCAGCGGGACACAGTACACCACCGTCTGTGTGTGATCAGAGAGCAGCGGGACACAGTACACCGCCGTCTGTGTGTGATCAGAGAGCAGCGGGACACAGCACACCGCCGTCTGTGTGTGATCAGAGAGCAGCGGGACACAGTACACCGCCGTCTGTGTGTGATCAGAGAGCAGCGGGACACCACCGTCTGTGTGTGATCAGAGAGCAGCGGGACACAGTACACCACCGTCTGTGTGTGATCAGAGAGCAGCGGGACACAGTACACCGCCGTCTGTGTGTGATCAGAGAGCAGCGGGACACAGCACCGTCTGTGTGTGATCAGAGAGCAGCAGTACACCACCGTCTGTGTGTGTCGAGGTCTGACCAGACAGCAGCGTAGACTGACGAATAGACCGGCGGAGGAACAGGCTCCGGCGGCGACGCTAGTTACGGAGCTCGAAGAGAAGGGACTCGGCAGAAACAGCCGACATTATAGCAGTAGGGTGGCTCAGCATCACGGAGAACTGCAACTACTCACTGTGTTACAAATAGGAGAACATCCTCTGTGCCCATTGAAGATATAGTTAGCTGAGGTGATGGACGATGTCGGCGGCCTCACCGGCTGAGACTCTGCCGGTTCAACACGTCCCCCCGTGCGGGTGCTCGGACGCCGCCCGGGCTCACCAGTACCTGTCCGACGCGCCATATACTTCTGAGCAGATCGGCGGTCCATGTGGCGCCCTCTGCCCCGGCCGATGTCAGAGATCATTTCACCCGGTCATTTCAGTTGTATTCATTTCACTGACCGTCCTCCCATGGTGGCAGCTGTAACAAGAACTCAGCTACCGTGCGAGTCCCGAGTCCGGACAATACATAGAGCTGTGCCAGTCCTCCCACAGCGCGGAGACGGGTAAATCACGCATCATTCTCAGACATTGCGGGCCCACTGCCGTAGCCCTCGACAATCTCCAGTACTGTCGGGTCAGTGCGTAAAGGGATAATAAATAGGTATGTTTACTACCCACTACAACTCGTCAGTAACAACAACCCTAATAATAAAACGAATTCACCCGTGATGCATTTAGTGGACTAGTAAGCGACTGCGACACAATTCATCGTGAAAAACATGGCGCGTCGTTCCACGCCCCCAGCATATACCTACCCAGTCCCTATCACAAATCAATCACCGAGCGGCACAGACGGCAGTATCGCCGCGTCTTGGATCACTCGTCCTAAGGTTGATACACGAAAACAGCCCACCCGTGTCATGTCAGATATAATTCACACGGGATCCGCTGGGCGCTGACTGATTCCACCCCTACTACTCATTGTCCCTATACCTAATTTGGCCTGTTTTCCACAGCTGGCCAGTCAGCCGGACCGCCCCGGGGTGCACTCACTGGTCCCGTACTCGCCTAGCCTCCCTGTGGTCTGTCGGCGCCCTCAGAATCACAGACCTCACCTGGCGCACTGTCACCCCTGCCAGGCGCGGCTCCCCTCTGATCGCCCCCTCCGGCGCCGCCTCCCACGAACCCGCCGCAGTGGTGGCCCAATCAGGCACCTCGCCTTCACTCCAACCCGCTATATGTAGGCACCACAGGCGCAGGTGTACCATAGGTATCGATCAACATTGGCCCCGAAATACCCGCAGCACTTCCCGCGTTCTCCACACATTCCCAACAACTCATCCCCGACACTCTGCAGCGCCCTCCTCCCGGGGGTTGGGCCACTCTGCAGCGCCCTCCTCCCGGGGTTTCGGCCACTCTGCGGCGCCCTCCTCCCGGGGGTTCGGCCGCTCTGCAGCGACCTCCTCCCGGGGTTTCGGCCGCTGCTCGCCCGAGTCGGCCGCCGCCGCTCAGAAGTGCGTGCCGCCGTCGCTCAGGTCGCCGTCGGCGCTCATCTCGGCCCCGAACAGCGGGTTCTGGGTGGCGCCGCCGCCGAACGGCGACCCGCCGCTCCCGGCGAACGGCGACTGGCCGGCGGCCGGCTCGTCGTCGTCGTCCGGCTCGAAGGTGGGCATGTGGTGGCGGCTGTTCTCGTCGAACACGCCCGGGTCCACGTCCAGCCGGTCGGCGGGCTCCGCCGCCTGCTCCGACTCCGGCTGGTAGGCCGGGTTGGCGTGCGAGACGGGCTGGCCGCGCCGCTGGCCCGAGCTGGCGAACTCAGGGGCGTCCTCCACCCCGATCAGCACCGAGTCCCCACTGGACACACTGGGGGAGGGGTTCAGATCAGCACCGAGTCCCCGCTGGACACACTGGGGGAGGGGAGGGGGTCCGATCAGCACCGAGTCCCCGCTGGACACACTGGGGGAGGGGAGGGGGTCCGATCAGCACCGAGTCCCCGCTGGACACACTGGGGGAGGGGAGGGGGTCCGATCAGCACCGAGTCCCCACTGGACACACTGGGGGAGGGGGTCAGATCAGCACCGAGTCCCCGCTGGACACACTGGGGGAGGGGAGGGGGTCCGATCAGCACCGAGTCTCCGCTGGACACACTGGGGGAGGGGAGGGGGTCCGATCAGCACCGAGTCCCCGCTGGACACACTGGGGGAAGGGGAAGGGGGTCCGATCAGCACCGAGTCCCCGCTGGACACACTGGGGAAGGGCATAGAGGGTCAGATCAGCACCGAGTCCCCACTGGACACACTGGGGGAGGGGAGGGGGTCCGATCAGCACCGAGTCCCCACTGGACACACTGGGGGAGGGGAGGGGTCCGATCAGCACCGAGTCCCCGCTGGACACACTGGGGGAGGGGAGGGGGTCCGATCAGCACAGAGTCCCCACTGGACACACTGGGGGAGGGGGGTCCGATCAGCACCGAGTCCCCACTGGACACACTGGGGGAGGGGGGTCCGATCAGCACCGAGTCCCCGCTGGACACACTGGTGGAGGGGAGGGGTCCGATCAGCACCGAGTCCCCACTGGAAACACTGGGGGAGGGGAGGGGGTCCGATCAGCACACAGTCCCCACTGGACACACTGGGGGAGGGGGGTCCGATCAGCACCGAGTCCCCGCTGGACACACTGGGGGAGGGGAGGGGTCCGATCAGCACCGAGTCCCCGCTGGACACACTGGGGGAGGGGAGGGGGTCCGATCAGCACCGAGTCCCCGCTGGACACACTGGGGGAGGGCATAGAGGGTCCGATCAGCACAGAGTCCCCACTGGACACTGGGGGAGGGGGTCCGATCAGCGCACCGAGTCCCCGCTGGACACACTGGGGGAAGGGGTCCGATCAGCACCGAGTCCCCGCTGGACACACTGGGGGAGGGGAGGGGGTCCGATCAGCACCGAGTCCCCACTGGACACTGGGGGAGGGGGTCAGATCAGCACCGAGTCCCCGCTGGACACTGGGGGAGGGGGTCAGATCAGCACCGAGTCCCCACTGGACACTGGGGGAGGGGGTCAGATCAGCACCGAGTCCCCGCTGGACACACTGGGGGAGGGCATAGAGGGTCCGATCAGCACAGAGTCCCCACTGGACACTGGGGGAGGGGGTCAGATCAGCACCGAGTCCCCACTGGACACTGGGGGAGGGGGTCAGATCAGCACCGAGTCCCCGCTGGACACACTGGGGAGGGCATAGAGGGTCCGATCAGCACAGAGTCCCCACTGGACACTGGGGGAGGGGGTCCGATCAGCACCGAGTCCCCACTGGACACACTGGGGGAGGGCATAGAGGGTCCGATCAGCACAGAGTCCCCACTGGACACTGGGGGAGGGGGAGGGGGTCCGATCAGCACCGAGTCCCCGCTGGACACACTGGGGGAGGGAAGGGGGTCCGATCAGCACCGAGTCCCCACTGGACACACTGGGGGATGGGGGTCCGATCAGCACCGAGTTCCCACTGGACACTGGGGGAGGGGAGGGGGTCCGATCAGCACCGAGTCCCCGCTGGACACACTGGGGGAGGGGGAGGGGGTCAGATCAGCACCGAGTCCCCGCTGGACACACTGGGGGAGGGGAGGGGATCAGATCAGCACCGAGTCCCCACTGGACACACTGGGGGATGGGAGGGGGTCCGATCAGCACCGAGTCCCCACTGGACACACTGGGGGAGGGGGAGGGGGTCCGATCAGCACCGAGTCCCCGCTGGACACACTGGGGGAGGGGGTCCGATCAGCACCGAGTCCCCACTGGACACACTGGGGGATGGAGGTCCGATAAGCACCGAGTTCCCACTGGACACTGGGGGAGGGGAGGGGGTCCGATAAGCACCGAGTCCCCACTGGACACACTGGGGGAGGGGAGGGGGTCAGATCAGCACACAGTCCCCACTGGACACACTGGGGGAGGGGAAGGGGTCCGATCAGCACCGAGTCCCCACTGGACACACTGGGGGAGGGGAGGGGGTCCGATCAGCACCGAGTCCCCACTGGACACACTGGGGGAGGGGGAGGAGGTCCGATCAGCACCGAGTCCCCACTGGACACACTGGGGGATGCGGGTCCGATCAGCACCGAGTCCCCGCTGGACACACTGGGGGAGGGGAGGGGGTCAGATCAGCACACAGTCCCCACTGGACACACTGGGGGAGGGGAGGGGGTCTGATCAGCACAGAGTCCCCACTGGACACACTGGGGGAGGGGAGGGGTCCGATCAGCACACAGTCCCCGCTGGACACAATGGGGGAGGGGAGGGGGTCCGATCAGCACCGAGTCCCCGCTGGACACACTGGGGGAGGGGAGGGGGTCCGATCAGCACCGAGTCCCCGCTGGACACACTGGGGGAGGGAAGGGGGTCCGATCAGCACAGAGTCCCCACTGGACACACTGGGGGAGGGGAGGGGGTCCGATCAGCACCGAGTCCCCACTGGACACTGGGGGAGGGGGTCCGATCAGCACCGAGTCCTCGCTGGACACACTGGGGGAGGGGGGTCCGATCAGCACCGAGTCCCCACTGGACACACTGGGTGAGGGGAGGGGGTCCGATCAGCACACAGTCCCCGCTGGACACAATGGGGGATGAGGTCCGATCAGCACCGAGTTCCCACTGGACACTGGGGGAGGGGAGGGGGTCCGATCAGCACCGAGTCCCGCTGGACACACTGGGGGATGGGGGTCCGATCAGCACCGAGTTCCCACTGGACACTGGGGAAGATGGAGGGGGTCCGATCAGCACCGAGTCCCCGCTGGACACACTGAGGGAGGGGAGGGGGTCCGATCAGCACAGAGTCCCCACTGGACACACTGGGGGAGGGGAGGGGGTCCGATCAGCACCGAGTCCCCGCTGGACACACTGGGGGAGGGGAGGGGGTCCGATCAGCACACAGTCCCCACTGGACACACTGGGGGAGGGGAGGGGGTCCGATCAGCACCGAGTCCCCACTGGACACACTGGGGGATGGGGGTCCGATCAGCACCGAGTCCCCACTGGACACTGGGGGAGGGGGTCCGATCAGCACCGAGTCCCCGCTGGACACACTGGGGGAGGGGGTCTGATCAGCACCGAGTCCCCGCTGGACACACTGGGGGAGGGGAGGGGGTCCGATCAGCACCGAGTCCCCACTGGACACACTGGGGGAGGGGAAGGGGTCCGATCAGCACAGAGTCCCCGCTGGACACACTGGGGGAGGGGAGGGGGTCTGATCAGCACCGAGTCCCCGCTGAGGACACTGGGGGAGGGGGGGGGGGGGGTCCGATCAGCACAGAGTCCCACTGGACACACTGGGGGAGGGGAGGGGGTCCGATCAGCACCGAGTCCCCGCTGAGGACACTGGGGGAGGGGGGGGGGGGGTCCGATCAGCACAGAGTCCCACTGGACACACTGGGGGAGGGGAGGGGGTCCGATCAGCACCGAGTCCCCACTGGAAACACTGGGGGAGGGGAGGGGGTCCGATCAGCACACAGTCCCCACTGGACACACTGGGGGAGGGGGGTCCGATCAGCACCGAGTCCCCGCTGGACACACTGGGGGAGGGGAGGGGTCCGATCAGCACACCGAGTCCCCGCTGGACACACTGGGGGAGGGCATAGAGGGTCCGATCAGCACAGAGTCCCCACTGGACACTGGGGGAGGGGGTCCGATCAGCGCACCGAGTCCCCGCTGGACACACTGGGGGAAGGGGTCTGATCAGCACCGAGTCCCCGCTGGACACACTGGGGGAGGGGAGGGGGTCCGATCAGCACCGAGTCCCCACTGGACACTGGGGGAGGGGGTCAGATCAGCACCGAGTCCCCGCTGGACACTGGGGGAGGGGGTCAGATCAGCACCGAGTCCCCACTGGACACTGGGGGAGGGGGTCAGATCAGCACCGAGTCCCCGCTGGACACACTGGGGGAGGGCATAGAGGGTCCGATCAGCACAGAGTCCCCACTGGACACTGGGGGAGGGGGTCAGATCAGCACCGAGTCCCCACTGGACACTGGGGGAGGGGGTCAGATCAGCACCGAGTCCCCGCTGGACACACTGGGGTGGGCATAGAGGGTCCGATCAGCACAGAGTCCCCACTGGACACTGGGGGAGGGGGTCCGATCAGCACCGAGTCCCCACTGGACACACTGGGGGAAGGCATAGAGGGTCCGATCAGCACAGAGTCCCCACTGGACACTGGGGGAGGGGGAGGGGGTCCGATCAGCACCGAGTCCCCGCTGGACACACTGGGGGAGGGAAGGGGGTCCGATCAGCACCGAGTCCCCACTGGACACACTGGGGGATGGGGGTCCGATCAGCACCGAGTTCCCACTGGACACTGGGGGAGGGGGAGGGGGTCAGATCAGCACCGAGTCCCCGCTGGACACACTGGGGGAGGGGGAGGGGGTCAGATCAGCACCGAGTCCCCGCTGGACACACTGGGGGAGGGGAGGGGATCAGATCAGCACCGAGTCCCCGCTGGACACACTGGGGGAGGGAAGGGGGTCCGATCAGCACCGAGTCCCCGCTGGACACACTGGGGGAGGGGGAGGGGGTCAGATCAGCACCGAGTCCCCGCTGGACACACTGGGGGAGGGGAGGGGATCAGATCAGCACCGAGTCCCCACTGGACACACTTGGGGATGGGAGGGGGTCCGATCAGCACCGAGTCCCCGCTGGACACACTGGGGGAGGGTGTCCGATCAGCACCGAGTCCCCACTGGACACACTGGGGGATGGGGGTCCGATAAGCACCGAGTTCCCACTGGACACTGGGGGAGGGGAGGGGGTCCGATAAGCACCGAGTCCCCACTGGACACACTGGGGGAGGGGAGGGGGTCAGATCAGCACACAGTCCCCACTGGACACACTGGGGGAGGGGAAGGGGTCCGATCAGCACCGAGTCCCCACTGGACACACTGGGGGAGGGGAGGGGGTCCGATCAGCACCGAGTCCCCACTGGACACACTGGGGGAGGGGGAGGAGGTCCGATCAGCACCGAGTCCCCACTGGACACACTGGGGGATGCGGGTCCGATCAGCACCGAGTCCCCGCTGGACACACTGGGGGAGGGGAGGGGGTCAGATCAGCACACAGTCCCCACTGGACACACTGGGGGAGGGGAGGGGGTCTGATCAGCACAGAGTCCCCACTGGACACACCGGGGGAGGGAAAGGGGTCCGATCAGCACCGAGTCCCCACTGGACACACTGGGGGAGGGAGGGGGGTCCGATCAGCACCGAGTCCCCACTGGACACACTGGGGGATGGGGGGTCCGATCAGCACCGAGTCCCCGCTGGACACACTGGGGGAGGGGAGGGGTCCGATCAGCACCGAGTCCTCGCTGGACACACTGGGGGAGGGGGGTCCGATCAGCACCGAGTCCCCACTGGACACTGGGGGAGGGGGTCCGATCAGCACCGAGTCCCCGCTGGACACACTGGGGGAGGGGGTCTGATCAGCACCGAGTCCCCACTGGACACACTGGGGGAGGGGAGGGGGTCCGATCAGCACCGAGTTCCCACTGGACACTGGGGAAGATGGAGGGGGTCCGATCAGCACCGAGTCCCCGCTGGACACACTGAGGGAGGGGAGGGGGTCCGATCAGCACAGAGTCCCCACTGGACACACTGGGGGAGGGGAGGGGGTCCGACCAGCACCGAGTCCCCGCTGAGGACACTGGGGGAGGGAGGGGGGTCCGATCAGCACAGAGTCCCACTGGACACACTGGGGGAGGGGAGGGGGTCCGATCAGCACCGAGTCCCCGCTGAGGACACACTGGGGGAGGGGGGGGGGACTGTCAGTGTGCTACGTCCGCGCACAGGGGCGCTACTAAGTCGTCGCGATAATCAGGCGAATTATCACCGCCAGAAACAGCTGACGTGTTAGAGCAATCTGCGGCGGGCGGCAGTCCACATTTGAATATTTCTTTGACCTCCTCCTCTCCTTCTAACTACACTACGCGGTACGTAGACCGCCCTTCCCCCTAACACGTCACACTGAGCCCCTCTGTACGCTAGTCAGACGCGCTCACATTTATACCTCCTCCGTCCCCGCCCCCGGGCTCGTCTCCCCGCCCGCCCACCCCCCGGCCCCGTGCCCCCCCCCCTCAACTCCGCGCGCGGCCCGGCCGTCCGTCCCGACTGACTCCGTACCCCGGTCGTCCCTCTGAACTCCGTACCCCGGTCGTCCCTCTGAACTCCGCACCCCGGTCGTCCCTCTGAACTCCGTACCCCGGTCGTCCCTCTGAACTCCGTACCCCAGTCGTCCCCCTCCCCCTGACTCCGCACCCCGGTCGTCCCCCTGAACTCCGCACCCCGGTCGTCCCTCTGAACTCCGTACCCCGGTCGTCCCTCTGAACTCCGTACCCCGGTCGTCCCTCTGAACTCCGTGCCCCGGTCGTCCCTCTGAACTCCGTACCCCGGTCGTCCCCCTGACTCCGTACCCCAGTCGTCCCTCTGAACTCCGTACCCCGGTCGTCCCTCTGAACTCCGTACCCCGGTCGTCCCTCTGAACTCCGTACCCCGGTCGTCCCCCTGAACTCCGCACCCCGGTCGTCCCTCTGAACTCCGTACCCCGGTCGTCCCTCTGAACTCCGTACCCCGGTCGTCCCTCTGAACTCCGTACCCCGGTCGTCCCTCTGAACTCCGTACCCCGGTCGTCCCTCTGAACTCCGTACCCCGGTCGTCCCCCTCCCTCTGAACTCCGTACCCCGGTCGTCCCTCTGAACTCCGTACCCCGGTCGTCCCCCTGACTCCGTACCCCGGCCGTCCCTCTGAACTTCGTGCCCCGGTCGTCCCCCTCCCTCTGAACTCCGTACCCCGGTCGTCCCTCTGAACTCCGTACCCCGGTCGTCCCTCTGAACTCCGTACCCCGGTCGCCCCTCTGAACTCCGTACCCCGGTCGCCCCTCTGAACTCCGTACCCCGGTCGTCCCTCTGAACTCCGTACCCCGGTCGTCCCTCTGAACTCCGTACCCCGGTCGTCCCTCTGAACTCCGTACCCCGGTCGTCCCCCCGGTCGTCCCTCTGAACTCCGTACCCCGGTCGTCCCTCTGAACTCCGTACCCCGGTCGTCCCCCTGAACTCCGCACCCCGGTCGTCCCTCTGAACTCCGTACCCCGGTCGTCCCTCTGAACTCCGTACCCCGGTCGTCCCTCTGAACTCCGTACCCCGGTCGTCCCCCTCCCTCTGAACTCCGTACCCCGGTCGTCCCTCTGAACTCCGTACCCCGGTCGTCCCCCTGACTCCGTACCCCGGCCGTCCCTCTGAACTTCGTGCCCCGGTCGTCCCCCTCCCTCTGAACTCCGTACCCCGGTCGTCCCTCTGAACTCCGTACCCCGGTCGTCCCTCTGAACTCCGTACCCCGGTCGCCCCTCTGAACTCCGTACCCCGGTCGCCCCTCTGAACTCCGTACCCCGGTCGTCCCTCTGAACTCCGCACCCCGGTCGTCCCTCTGAACTCCGTACCCCGGTCGTCCCTCTGAACTCCGTACCCCGGTCGTCCCTCTGACTCTGACCCCGGTCGTCCCTCTGAACTCCGTACCCCGGTCGTCCCTCTGAACTCCGTACCCCGGTCGCCCCTCTGAACTCCGTACCCCGGTCGTCCCTCTGAACTCACCTGCCGGCGTCTGCGGCCCGCTCCTCTGTGTCGTAGATAGGGTTGGCGCCCTGGTAGACGTTCGTGCCGGGCACGGCCAGACCGGCCGCCTGCATCCCCGAGTCGCGCGAGCCGAACGCGTTAATGGAGAGCGCCTTCACCTGGCGGCGCAGCCTGCCGCAGACACACCGGTGGTGATGGCGAAATACAGCCGTGGTAATGGGGAGACACAGCGGTGGTAATGGAGAGACACTGCGATGGTAATGGAGAGACACACCGGTGGTGATGGGGAAATACAGCGGTGGTAATGGCGAAATACAGCGGTGGTAATGGGGAGACACAGCGGTGGTAATGGACAGATATAGCGGTGGTAATGGAGACACACAGCGGTGGTAATGGAGAGACACTGCGGTGGTAATTGGGGGATACAGCGGTGGTAATTGGGGGATACAGCGGTGGTAACGGAGATATATAGCGGTGGTAATGGAGAGATATAGCGGTGGTAATTGGGGGATACAGCTGTGGCTATGGAGAGACACAGCGCAGTGGCGGTGGAACACCTTCAATTAACCCGCGCCCTGTAGGGCTACCGGCGGACCCTACGACCTGTACGGGGGGGGGGGGGGCTTTTCGGCCCCCCTTAAGATCTCGGAAATTTACCGGCCGAGTTTCAAATTTCAAACAGCGTTCGATAGCCCCACCGCGGAACTACCTTGTGACCTAATTTCATTGACATAGGTCAAACCGATGACGTCACAGGTCAGGTCAAAGGTCGGATTTTCACCGTTCACAGGCATTTCAAGAAATGTGTTGTGAAATCGAGGAAATTGGTAAGTTATTGGAAACCATCGATAGTACATTGTTCGTCAAACACATACTTCGTTATCTGAGGTCACTGATACCAGGTCAGGTCACAGAGGTCAGGTCACTACTGGGGGGTCACAATATGAAAGTGTCGTGTGATACATGTTTTATGGTACATTTTACATGACAAACGCAATTATGTGGGTCAGGCACTCAGGCAGCCTTTGGGGCCAGCTTAGGTCACGTTTTGGTGAAGGTCAGGTCAAAGTCAGATCAAATTAGGTCAAATTTCAAAGTTGATATTTTTGCATAAAATGGGTATCGATTCGACGCAACTTGTCACGGGGAGTCCAATAGTGGTCTTTGTTTTGCCCTACGTGGTTTAGAATTGCCAAAAATGGAGCTTGAAAATTTGACGTCATCATTTTGAACAGTTTTTTCGCTACACCTAACTTGGCCAAAAAATGAGATATCGAGCAGAAATTTGGTATATAAATAGAAGACGGTAGGTACTATCACATATATTCCGTTTTTTTTTTTCGAAACTCAAAAAACTTTTTGGATTTTTGGCTAATATATAAAAAAATGCATTTTTGATTGTTCGGGGTCAGAACTTAAAAATTTCAAAAATCCGAGATGACAGTTTTGTAGCCCTGTCAATTCTATACCTTTAATGTCCTGACCGTTTTTCTGTATCTTAAAGGCTGTAGGCCTGACAGCTCTTCTTCCGAAGGTCTTTTTACGGTCGAAAATGGCAGAACATGACGTCATTCTGACGTCATTTGTAACCAACCTATCATAGCCTCTAAAAAATTGTTTTGTCACAATGTGTAAAATTGATTCCCGGAGGAGTCCTGAAAGTTTGGTGGCGATTCAGGGCTGGTAAAGTGTTATGTCTTATTGACGTCGTCGGGGACACAGTAGGGTAGCCTGGGGCAAGACGCCCCAGATAATTTATTTTGCTACATAACTTTTGTCCTACATCACCTGGAAGGCCAAATTTGTGCTCAATGCGTTCTTGGGACATTTTACTTTAAATTCCATCCCTCAAATTCATTCACTTATGATCGGACTCCCAGATATGAAGTGATTTGTGAAGCAACTGCAAATGGGGCATTTTGCCCCAACCCCAGGGCAAAACGCCCCACGGCCCGGGGCAAGAAGCCCCATACTCTAGATTAAAGATTAGACATGCTAGTTGACCAAATCTTATATGAGAGGTCCGTTAGACCTTGGGAGGCACGGCACTGAAGTTAGCACCTTCCATCCTATCAGGTGTTCAGCTATGACACTATTGTATGTGCAGGTTTTTCACCTGCCTCATAAGGCCAAATAATAAATTATTGCCATGCAACTGTCAACCAAATACTTCCTTTGCCATCCGGTTGCTGAGAAAACTACACATAAATGCATAGCAACTTACTGTTTGCCAGCTACCGAACATTAGGAAGTGGATAGTACGAACAACACATGAGGCAAAACGCCCCATGGGGCTTTTTGCCCCGCGACCTACTGGGGCGTTTTACCCCATCACGTAGTTCGGTCAGAAAACAACGCCTTGCACTCCAGCAAGACATAATTTAACACGAACCAGCCCGGCATTATAAGCGTTAGATAACAGTTGTTCAAAATACATAAAAGTCGTTGACCTGATGTGGACCATAAAAGAACGCCATGATGCATAACCTGACAACAAAACATAAAAATCACTCCAAAGACACATTTTTGGCTATATCTCCCTAAGGAGTCATCACAATTTCTTTCCAGTCTGGTCATATAATGATCATATAGTGCACGTTTTATAGAAGAGAGAATATTGCCCCAGATCCTTGCCAGTTCCGAGAAACATCGGTGAGGCGTTTTACCTCGGCGGGGCGACGTGCCCCGGTCTACCCTATCAGTAAAAGTTCAAGTACCGGGGGTCAAAATTACCACATTTAGGTAGTAAACTTTTACAGTAATAAATAACTTTCAAATAAAGCAGAAACTAAACGCAAGTAATAGATATCATTGAATCCACAACGTATATCCCCTTTAACAAGGACATAAAAAGCCCCTACCTAATACATACCTACAACATGGTTATGAACAATTAGTAGCCACAACTCACTTCCGTTAACAGCAAAAATACCGTCGACAGTTGCTAGCGAAAACCAGATCAAACTAGATGATCAAACACATACTAACAGACGCTTAGACACCGACCCCGCTGTCGGCTGTGCTATTTCAAGCGGGGTTGATTGACGACCAGTTGTAGCCAGCTATACGACTAGACAAACGACTAGATTCGGAACCGGGGTCAGACCGGTTGGACATGGTAAATTCATGCGGGGTCGATAGTTTCTAGCCGGCGTCGTTGTGAGCTACCGATACAATAGCGACACCTATTGCATTTGTTCGACGATCGTAGCGCCCCCTACCCTTTCCGGGTTCTTCGTCTGTTACGCTAGCCGCTGACCGAGTGATGCCGTGACATTTAATTAACAAACTGGAAATTTCGAAGCGCGAGTCTGATAAGCAATTTAGTACCTATGACTGCTCGTAAAAAAAAATAATATAGAAATGAAACCTAAGGAAACGCACATCGTAGTTGCATGCAGCCTGCATACATGAATCGTAAAAAGGTCGGGGTCATTTTTTGCTCTCATTTTTTGGTCGGGGACGCAATTTGCTTTTTTAACAGCCCTGGGCGATATCTCCAGCCGTTTAGGAGATATCAACGGAGAAGGACAGGGGGCCGTTTCGGCCCCCCTACGGGCCTCGGGTTAAACGCGCACCGACGGGGGGCGGATATCCGCCCCCTGAGGTTTTTCGCGAATAGCGGAAAACCGCGGGCGCTACGCGCCGCGAAATTTGGTACGACTATTTTTTCATCAATTTTACACATGATGTGCAAGTCTGAACCTCCTAACTTTTAAGGTCAGGTCACCAGGTCACTTTGAATGACCCAACCTCAAGTCACTTTTTTGCAACTTTGTCACCGTGCCAGAGGCCAGAGCTACAGTAGATGTCGGAGGCCTTTGAAAGTCGCAGGATGTTATGAGGTCATTAGTAGCTACAATTTGTTTATCTCGGAATTTTGATATCGGTGACCTAAGGTCAGGTCAATTTCTCGACCTCCCCATTATAAGTCAATGGGGGAAAATCAACTCCCTATTTTTACCACTAAAACGGGTCGGAATGACCCCATATACCATACATGACTTCATATACGATCAACCTTCACTACGTTGAGGTCTGTTTTGCTGTTGGGCAGCTGTAAGGTCATGTGACGTCACCAAAGGTCACCAGCGGTTTTTTGCCAATAACTCCGTACAGGAACAAGATACAGCCGCGCGGATGGTCTCATTGTGTTCAGCTCGTCAAGACGCATCGAATGATATACATGATGATCTCGAGGTCACGTGACCTGAGGTCAACCTTTGACCTTGACCTTTCGAGGTCAACATATATCATTCGATGCGGATTGACGAGAGGATCACGATGATGCCCTTAGTTTGTCCCTTTCCTGACTTATTCGAAAGTTATTCGAGAAAAACTCTCCATATCTAGCGCCACCATTTTGACTTTTTTGACCCCTGTGACGTCATCTTTGACCTGACCTGAAAATGACCTTAGTAAAAATTGTAGACCTTGTTCGTGCGTATTCGATGCCGTTTACCGCTTGCCGCTATCTTGCTTCGTTCTCGAGATCTCAGGGGGGGGCGGTCATCCGCCCCCCCCCCGTCGGTACGAAGTTGGCGCAGACCCCCGTCGGTGCGCGGGTTAAGGGGGGAGGGAACACTGCTGACTTTTGGTCCCATTCTTTCCACGCAACGCCCATCGGGCCAATGTTAAAATGCCAAAATCAAAGGGGGCACGTTGCCCAGTGCCCCGTTCCGCCGCCTATGACACAGCGGTCCAATTCGAAAAGCAGCGGTAGTTACGGAGACACAGCAAGGTAGGTAATCGAGAGACGCAGCTGCTGTTATGAAAATACAGCGGTAGAGATGGAGACACACAGGGTGGTAACGGAGAGAAACCAATCAGAATGGAGACAAAGGTCGCGACTGGTGCGGTGTATCCTCTGCGCGGTCCTCACTTGTGTGCATATCCCTGGCCGGTCCTCACTAGTGTGTGTCCCCAGGCGTCCTCACTGGTGCATGTGTACCTAGTTGTGTGTGTGTGTGTGTGTGTGTGTGCCGCGGTCCTCACTTGCGCGTGTGGATGCAGGAGGTGATGCAGGTGAGCGCCAGGATGCCGCCCAGCACCGAGCCCACCACGATCAGCAGCATCTGGAAGACGGTGTCGTTGTCGTCCGGAGGCTGCACGGTCGTGTCCCCGATGGCCGTCAGGTTCAGGTTCAGCTGGCCCAGCGACTGCAGCAGGTTCTTGGTGACGTCACCCTGGAACTGCAGGTTGATGATGACGCTGGCCAGCACCGGCTCCGGCAGCGCCATGTCGATGAAGTGAGTGATCATGTTGGTGCAGGGCTGCGGCCCGTCCGGACACTCGGTCACCGTCTCCACGTTGGCCACGTAATCCTGGCCGTCCACCGAGAACACGTCCGTCAGAATGTCGGCCACTTTGTCCTGCTGGTTCTGCGGACAGAGAGACAGGGGAACTGTCAGAGCGGCGGCTATACTGTCCTGCTGGGCCTGTGTACAGGGAGACAGACAGGGGAGCTGTCAGAGCGGCGGCTATACTGTCCTCCTGGGCCTGCGGACAGGGAGACAGGGGAGCTGTCAGAGCGGCGGCTATACTGTCCTGCTGGGCCTGCGGACAGGGAGACAGGGGAGCTGTCAGAGCGGCGGCTATACTGTCCTGCTGGGCCTGTGTACAGGGAGAGACAGGGGAGCTGTCAGAGCGGCAGCTATACTGTCCTGCTGGGCCTGCGGACAGGGAGACAGGGGAGCTGTCAGAGCGGCGGCTATACTGTCCTGCTGGGCCTGCGGACAGGGAGAGACAGGGGAGCTGTCAGAGCGGCGGCTATACTGTCCTGCTGGGCCTGCGGACAGGGAGACAGGGGAGCTGTCAGAGCGGCGGCTATACTGTCCTGCTGGGCCTGTGTAGAGGGAGAGACAGGGGAGCTGTCAGAGCGGCGGCTATACTGTCCTGCTGGTTCTGCGGACAGGGAGAGACAGGGGAGCTGTCAGAGCGGCGGCTATACTGTCCTGCTGGGGGATGGGGGGGGGGCAGGGGATGTGAGAGGACACCGATAGTTCTGTGGTTTTAGTGAGTTTGTGAAATAATAGGTACGGCAAATATTGAGCTTAGTTGTGATGTTACTTAGGTACTACAAAGTTTTAGAAGAGTTGCCATGTTGTAGGTACTTGTAACACATAGTTAGTCACGACGTTCCTGATAAGCTGCTCCTGCTGGAGATCACAAGCTAGTAATGTTATGTTCTAGTAATCTTGCTACAGTCCTGTGCTTTAAACCTTGAGAAGGTGATACATTGAACTCTAATAAAACAGCAACAGGAGATCCACGGAAACAGGACAGTAATAGACATTAGCAAAAAGGCAATGCCAAACGAAAAAATGCGTTGCCTGCCCAAGCAAACTACCAATGACAGCCTCCAATTCAGCTGTGGCGGAAGGGGGGACTAGACGATCCACCAGCCAGCACTGGCGGATGGCTGGAGGAGGACTAGACAATCCTCTGGCGAACACCGGTGGAGGGGGGACTAGACAATCCTCTGGTGAACACTGGTGGAGGAGGACTAGACAATCCTCTGGCGAACACCGGTGGAAGGGGGACTAGACAATCCTCTGGCGAACACTAGTGGAGGGGTGACTAGACAATCCTCTGGTGAACACTGGTGGAGGGGGCATTAGACAATCCTCACCTCGACGAGCGCAGCCTGGTTGGCGAACACGAATTTGACGCGATCGGCCTCCACGATGATGAAGATGCGGACCGAGGTGGTGTCGCTGTGGCCGGCGGTGTCCGTGGCCGACACGTCAAAGTCGAAGTAGCCGTCCATGCCGTCGCTGACGTCGAAGTTGAGCTGCAGCGCGGCGGTGTCGGGCGAGTTCAGGCGGAAGGGCTGGCTGATGTTGGAGATGCTGGGGTCGCTGGCGGTGAACTCAGACACGATGGCGTAGGTGGTCGGGTCGTCCAGGTCGGCGTCGTCGCTCTGCAGCCGCAGGATGGTGGTCTGCTGGTCGCCGGCCGCGATCCCGCCCATGAAGCGCCGCTCGCCGAAGCTGGGCGTCACGTCGTTGATGTCGTCCACGACCACGGTCAGGCTGAGCTGCGAGGGGTCCGACGGATCGAACACCTCAACGTCCGGCGGCTGCTTGTTCTCCCGGGTTGTCTTCAGGATCAGGCTGTAGCGGTCCTTGGTCTCGCGGTCCAGCTCCTTCAGGTTGCGCAGCTGCGGCGTCTCGGCGCTCGAGTTCACCAGTTCGAACGTGTCTCGGTCGCCGCCCACCAGGAAGTAGAAGATGATGTCCGTCTGGTCGTCATCCTGCGCCTTGGCCGTGATGTCCTTGACGTCGGCCTTGGTGTCGTTCCCCTCGGTGAAGTGGGTGTCGTTGTTGTAGCGCTCGGTGAACTCGGGGGCGAACTCGTCCACGTCCCCCACGGTGACGCGGATGTGGACCATGCTCTGCAGTCGCGGCGTGCCGCTGTCCAGGGCGGCGGCGTGCAGGTCGTACTGGGAGTTGGGGCCCTCCCGGTCCAGCTGACCGCGCAGCATCAGCGACTGGCAGCCGCTCTTCGGCTCCAGCGCCAGCTGCCGAACAGCCGGACAGAACGTCAGCCGCCGAACAGAACATCAGAGGCTGGCACACTTAGCCTGACCCTGGTTGAGCTGGTAAATAACTGCAAGTATAAATACTATAAAATATAAATAACTGCGAAAAAACTGGCTTTAAATAAATATGTAAGTAGCGAACAATACCACCAACTACTACTTGTACTGAGCATTTACAGCAACCCTCCCCAAAAATGTAATTTCTAGAATCTAGTTTTATTAGATAGTTCGATTTTCGCGGGATCTGTTATCCTGCTGAAATATACCACATTCCAGGAATGTTTCTGTGTGTCTATCTACACACAGAAACATTCACACAGAAACATTGTAGTGTTTTGCTGCCCCTGGAACTGGTGTAGCTCTAGTCTCTACTGCCGCCGGCTGAACGCTTATACATATGTAGAGCATATTCTTGGCGTCGCCAGGCGGCTGTCCCTAAAGTTTTATAGCCACTACCAAAAAAGGTGTGTATTTAGTCTCGGCAGATGCCTCATGCCTACCAGACTCAATATAGCTTGGCAGACTAGCTAGCCTTGGTAAACATCTGTAAGATCCGCCAGACATCTACCAGCGCCAATAGATGTCTAACAGCCCGGCGGATATCTACCAGTCCCAGCGTATGTCTACCAGCCACGGCGTATGTCTACCAGCCACGGTGTGCGTCTACCATCCCCAGATTACGCGTCCACCGGCCCCGGCAGACATCTACACCCAGCCCCGGCGGATGTCCTCGGTTAATATCTACCCAGCCCCGGCGGATGTCCTCGGTTAATATCTACCAGCCCCGGCGGATGTCCCGGTGTACGGCCCTCTCTCAGTCCCGGTGTACGACCCTCTCCCGGTGGCCCGGTGTACGGCCCTCCCCCAGTCCCGGTGTACGGCCCTCTCCCAGTGGCCCGGTGTACGGCCCTCTCCCAGTGGCCCGGTGTACGGCCCTCTCCCAGTCCTGGTGTACGGCCCTCTCCCAGTGGCCCGGTGTACGGCTCTCTCCCAGTGGCCCGGTGTACGACCCTCTCCCATTCCCGGTGTACGACCCTCTCCCATTCCCGGTGTACGGCCCTCTCCCAGTGGCCCGGTGTACGGCCCTCTCCCAGTCCTGGTGTACGGCCCTCTCCCAGTGGCCCGGTGTACGGCCCTCTCCCAGTGGCCCGGTGTACGGCCCTCTCCCAGTCCCGGTGTACGGCCCTCTCCCAGTCCCGGTGTACGACCCTCTCCCAGTGGCCCGGTGTACACCCTCTCCCACTCCCGGTGTACGGCCCTCTCCCAGTCCTGGTGTACGGCCCTCTCCCAGTGGCCCGGTGTACGGCCCTCTCCCAGTCCCGGTGTACGGCCCTCTCCCAGTCCCGGTGTACGGCCCTCTCCCAGTGGCCTGGTGTACGGCCTCTCCCAGTCCTGGTGTACGGCCCTCTCCCAGTGGCCCGGTGTACGGCCCTCTCCCAGTCCTGGTGTACGGCCCTCTCCCAGTGGCCCGGTGTACGCGGCCCTGTCCCAGTGGCCCGGTGTACGACCCTCTCCCAGTCCCACTGTACGGCCCTGTCCCAGTCCCGGTGAACGGCCTCTCCCAGTCCCGGTGTACGACCCTCTCCCAGTCCCGGTGTACACCCTCTCCCAGTCCCGGTGTACGACCCTCTCCCAGTGGCCCGGTGTACACCCTCTCCCAGTGTCCCGGTGTACGGCCCTCTCCCAGTCCCGGTGTACGACCCTCTCCCAGTGGCCCGGTGTACGACCCTCTCCCAGTCCCACTGTACGGCCCTCTCCCAGTCCCGGTGTACGACCCTCTCCCAGTGGCCCGGTGTACGACCCTCTCCCAGTCCCGGTGTACGGCCTCTCCCAGTGGCCCGGTGTACGGCCCTGTCCCAGTCCCGGTGTACGACCCTCTCCCAGTGGCCCGGTGTACGACCCTCTCCCAGTGGCCCGGTGTACGACCCTCTCCCAGTCCCACTGTACGGCCCTGTCCCAGTCCCGGTGTACGACCCTCTCCCAGTGGCCCGGTGTACGACCCTCTCCCAGTCCCACTGTACGGCCCTGTCCCAGTCCCGGTGTACGGCCTCTCCCAGCCCCGGTGTACGACCCTCTCCCAGTGGCCCGGTGTACGACCCTCTCCCAGTCCCGGTGTACACCCTCTCCCAGTCCCGGTGTACGACCCTCTCCCAGTCCCACTGTACGACCCTCTCCCAGTGGCCCGGTGTACGACCCTCTCCCAGTCCCGGTGTACGGCCTCTCCCAGTCCCGGTGTACAACCCTCTCCCAGTGGCCCGGTGTACGACCCTCTCCCAGTGGCCCGGTGTACGACCCTCTCCCAGTCCCGGTGTACGGCCTCTCCCAGTCCTGGTGTACGGCCTCTCCCAGTCCTGGTGTACGACCCTCTCCCAGTGGCCCGGTGTACGACCCTCTCCCAGTCCCACTGTACGGCCCTCTCCCAGTCCCGGTGTACGACCCTCTCCCAGTCCCACTGTACGACCCTCTCCCAGTGGCCCGGTGTACGACCCTCTCCCAGTCCCGGTGTACGACCCTCTCCCAGTCCCGGTGTACACCCTCTCCCAGTGTCCCGGTGTACGACCCTCTCCCAGTGGCCCGGTGTACGACCCTCTCCCAGTCCCGGTGTACGACCCTCTCCCAGTCCCGGTGTACGACCCTCTCCCAGTGGCCCGGTGTACGACCCTCTCCCAGTCCCACTGTACGGCCCTGTCCCAGTCCCGGTGTACGGCCTCTCCCAGTCCCGGTGTACGACCCTCTCCCAGTGGCCCGGTGTACGGCCCTCTCCCAGTCCCGGTGTACGGCCCCGGTGTACGGCCCTCTCCCAGCCCCGGTGTACGACCCTCTCCCAGTCCCGGTGTACGCGGCTCTCTCCCAGTCCCGGTGTACGGCCCTCTCCCAGTCCCGGTGTACGACCCTCTCCCAGTGGCCCGGTGTACGGCCCTCTCCCAGTCCTGGTGTACGGCCTCTCCCAGTCCCGGTGTACGCGGCCCTCTCCCAGTCCCAGTGTACGACCCTCTCCCAGTGGCCCGGTGTACGGCCCTCTCCCAGTCCCGGTGTACGCGGCTCTCTCCCAGTCCCGGTGTACGGCCCTCTCCCAGTCCCGGTGTACGACCCTCTCCCAGTGGCCCGGTGTACGACCCTCTCCCAGTGGCCCGGTGTACGGCCCAGTGTCGCGGTCGGCTCTCTCCCGGTGGCCCGGTGTACGGCCCTCTCCCAGTCCTGGTGTACGGCCTCTCCCAGTCCCGGTGTACGGCCCTCTCCCAGTCCCGGTGTACGACCCTCTCCCAGTCCCAGTGTACGGCCCTCTCCCAGTCCCAGTGTACGACCCTCTCCCAGTGGCCCGGTGTACGGCCCTCTCCCAGTCCCGGTGTACGCGGCTCTCTCCCAGTCCCGGTGTACGGCCCTCTCCCAGTGGCCCGGTGTACGGCCCTCTCCCAGTGGCCCGGTGTACGACCCTCTCCCAGTGGCCCGGTGTACGGCCCTCTCCCAGTGGCCCGGTGTACGCGGCCCAGTGTCGCGGTCGGCCCTCTCCCAGTGGCCCGGTGTACGGCCCCGGTGTACGGCCCTCTCCCAGCCCCGGTGTACGGCCCTCTCCCAGTGGCCCGGTGTACGGCCCTCTCCCGGTGGCCCGGTGTACGGCCCTCTCCCAGTCCTGGTGTACGGCCTCTCCCAGTGGCCCGGTGTACGCGGCCCTCTCCCAGTCCCGGTGTACGGCCCTCTCCCAGTCCTGGTGTACGACCCTCTCCCAGTCCTGGTGTACGGCCCTCTCCCAGTCCTGGTGTACGGCCCCGGTGTACGACCCTCTCCCAGTCCCGGTGTACGACCCTCTCCCAGTGGCCCGGTGTACGGCCCTCTCCCAGTGGCCCGGTGTACGGCCCTCTCCCAGTCCCGGTGTACGCGGCTCTCTCCCAGTCCCGGTGTACGACCCTCTCCCAGTCCCGGTCTACGACCCTCTCCCAGTCCCGGTGTACGGCCTCTCCCAGTCCTGGTGTACGGCCCTCTCCCAGTGGCCCGGTGTACGGCCCTCTCCCAGTCCTGGTGTACGGCCCTCTCCCAGTGGCCCGGTGTACGACCCTCTCCCAGTCCCGGTGTACGGCCTCTCCCAGTGGCCCGGTGTACGGCCCAGTGTCGCGGTCGGCTCTCTCCCAGTCCCGGTGTACGGCCCAGTGTCGCGGTCGGCTCTCTCCCAGTGGCCCGGTGTACGGCCTCTCCCAGTCCCGGTGTACGGCCCTCTCCCAGTGGCCCGGTGTACGGCCCTCTCCCGGTGGCCCGGTGTACGGCCTCTCCCAGTGGCCCGGTGTACGGCCCAGTGTCGCGGTCGGCCCTCTCCCAGTGGCCCGGTGTACGGCCCAGTGTCGCGGTCGGCTCTCTCACGTAGAACAGCGTGGCGGCGTCATCCGGAGTCGAGCCGTCCAGGTTGTAGGACAGCCGCGCGTTATCCGTGTCCGGGTCGTCCGGGTCGGAGGCGCACACGACCACCGCCGTGCCGTTGGGCATCACCACCGGCACGGCGTCGCCCTTCTGATACGTGTCCTCGGGCACCTCCAGCTCGAAGCCGTCACCGGGCGACGTCACAGTCGGCGCGTCATTGATGTCCTTGACGCGGACCTGCCGGGGGACAGGGGGACGGGGTGAGACGGGCAGGGTGTGCCGTGCGGGACCAGGGGTCAGACGGGCAGGGTGTGCCGTGCGGGGACCAGGGGTGAGAGACGGGCAGGGTGTGCCGTGCGGGGGACGGGGTGAGAGACAGGCAGGGTGCATGCCGTGCGGGGGACGGGGGGGGGGCAGGGTGTGCCGTGCGGGGGACGGGGTGAGACACAGGCAGGGTGTGCCGTACGGGGGACGGGGTGAGACGGGCAGGGTGTTCAGTGTGGGAGACGGGGGGCAGGGTGTGCAATGTGGGGAGAGCGGGGGGCGGCAGGGTGTGCCGTGCATGGGACGGGGGCCAGGGTGTGCACTGGCAGTGTGGGGACGGGGGAGACGGGCAGGGTGTGCCGTGCAGGGGACGGGGGGCAGGGTGTGCCGTGTGGGGGACGGGGGGTAGGGTGTGCCGTGCAGGGGACGGGGTGAGACACAGGCAGGGTGTGCCGTGCGGGGGACGGGGGGGCAGGGTGTGCCGTACGGGGGACGGGGTGAGAGACAGGTAGGGTGTGCAGTGCGGGGGACGGGGTGAGACGGGCAGGGTGTGCAGTGTGGGAGACGGGGGGCAGGGTGTGCAATGTGGGGAGAGCGGGGGGCGGCAGGGTGTGCCGTGCAGGGGACGGGGGCCAGGGTGTGCAGTGTGGGGACGGAGGAGACGGGCAGGGTGTGCCGTGCAGGGGACGGGGGGCGGGGTGTGCCGTGCGGGGGACGGGGGGTAGGGTGTGCCGTGCAGGGGACGGGGTGAGACACAGGCAGGGTGTGCCGTGCGGGGGACGGGGGGGGGGGGCAGGGTGTGCCGTACGGGGGACGGGGTGAGAGACAGGTAGGGTGTGCAGTGCGGGGGACGGGGTGAGACGGGCAGGGTGTGCAGTGTGGGAGACGGGGGGCAGGGTGTGCCGTGCGGGGGACGGGGGGCAGGGTGTGCCGTGCGGGGGGCGGGGGGCAGGGTGTGCCGTGCGGGGGACGGGGTGAGACACAGGCAGGGTGTGCCGTGCGGGGGACGGGGTGAGACACAGGCAGGGTGTGCCGTGCGGGGGACGGGGTGACACGGGCAGGGTGTGCCGTGCGGGGGACGGGGTGACACGGGTAGGGTGTGCCGTCGTACCGTATCGTACTTGACACTGGTGTGTGCCGTTGTTGTACCGTTCCTGGTACCTACTGGTGTGTGTGGTACTGGTGTGGTCCGTTATTGCAGTGTGCCAGATACCTGGTATGTACTAGTGTGTGCGGTACCACTCCGGCTACTGGTGTGTGCTGTATCGTACCTGGGGCATTCTACGATGTGTTTGACCTCGTGACCTCGTGACCTCGTGACCTCAGGTCACGTCACGTGACTTTTATTCGAGGGATGTATTTTTCTGCTTTTTTTCTCTTGAAAAAGTAACTTTTATTTGTCTCCCTTACATGGTAAAATTTGGGGAGATAGGTTATTTTTTATAAATATTTTAGGTTAAACCTCGCCCGTATAGGGGGGGGGGGGGTCGAACGGACCCCACACCCTCGGTTTTTCGCGAATAACTCGGCCGATCGCGACGAAACTTTCAGTACCCTCGCTTTTATCAATTTTACACCTATCCTAAAATTTTCATGACCCTGACCCTAATAACCTTTGACCTGTGACCTACTTTTCGAGACCATGTTTGGCCGGAATCGCGGTTCGGCGCATGTCGGCTCGCATTAGCAGCGCGTTTGCAGTCTTTTCGTGGTTTTCAGCGTTCAAACATGGGATATGATGTTGCTCCCATGCATGAGGGTGGGTGTCAAGGTCACCGGAAGGTCAAGTCAGGTCATTGACCTTTGATGACCTCGGTTCACTTTTTCGAGTTTTACATGTTTCCTGGCCAGTTTTTGGAAATGAATTCGAATTTAGCAACCATATAAACATTTACGAAGTAGTTTTGGTGCCTTCGTATCATGTTACGAAGCTCCCTCCGGACGCTGCTCAACTGTCGGCTCACTCTGCTGCCTGGGCTTACGCTGCCCTGCGGAGCTCAGCCACGGGCGACGGGATGTCAGCTCCAACTGTCGCGGCCTGTGCTGCCGATCGGGCCTCAGTCCCTGCCGGCGCCGGATGGGACGCCGACGTCGGCCGCTGCCGATCCGTCTGTGGTCCGCCGATGGTCGGACTCGTGCTGGACTCGTGCCATAACTACCTCCGATGCGACTCGCGACAAGCCGCCGACGTCCATCTCAGTCGCCAGAATGCTGCCATCTGGGCCCTCGTTGCTGTCGGCGAGAGTCGCACTGCGAGTGGCCTAACCTCGACCTCCACTGACCTCGGTCCCTGCCGACACCGGTGGGACGCCACGTCGGCCGCTGCAGATCCGGCTCTGATCCACCGCCGATCAGACTCGTGCCATACATACCTACCTCCGACTTGATTCTCAGCAAGCCGCCAGCGTCCGTCTCAGTCGCCCGTCACAGTCACCAGGATGCTGCAATCTGGGCTCTCGTTGCTGACGGCGCGAGTCGCTCTGCGAGTGGCCTAACCTCGACCTCCGCTGACCTCGGTCCCTGCCGACGCCGGTGGGATGCCACGTCGGCCGCTGCAGATAATGGCCCTGCTCTGACTTGACGCTCTACTGGTCGTGGGTGCTGCCGGCCCCGCCTCAAGCGCCGGTGATGCTGCCGTCTGAACGCCGCGAGAGCGCGCCGCGCTCCCGATCACGGCGGAGGCTGCCACGGACCGTGCTACCGCCCGGCTCAGGTTCATCCCGGCGCCGGCGGACTCCTGGCGCGCTGGGCGCCCGGCCTCGATGTGCGCGAAACAAGCCCAAGCCCCCGCCCCTATGACCCATCCGGGCCAACCCGGGACTGGCCCCTCCTGTGAGGGGCCGGTCGGCCGGCCGGGCGTGCGGAGCGCCGACCTAGACGGGTCGACGCTTCGCTCGCCCGGTCGGTGGTTAGGGGGCACCGTCCGGGGTTGCTTGCCGGGCGGTGCGGGCGGGGGCTGGCGGCCCGCCTGGAACGCCGGGGAGGTAGCCATCAGATCTCCCCGGCTGGGGAAGCATCCCCCAGCTCTCCCCAGGGCCGTGGACGGCACCGTCCCGGCCTGGCCAAGCGGGCCGCCGATGGTGAGCAGTGGGGACCGTCGTTTGGGCGATCACACTGCCCCGGTGGTGGCGTGAGGGGGATGTGAGGTTTCTCCTCAGCTCATTCATTGTATGCACTGTGTGAAAATAATGGCGATGGCGCTGCTCTTACCTACAACCTACCTAACTACTAACACTGACTGACCACTCTTACAATACTAGCATGTACATATCCTAAATCCAACCCCCTTCCACGAGCAGCGCCATCTATCTATTAGAACTGCCATGTACGCCATCTGTTTTCTGTTCCATGGGCTGCTCTCACTCGCTTTCTCTGTACCTACCTGTTCAAAATATACCACAGGTGGGAACCGGAAACCGAGCTGTCAGAGGCGGTTGCCACCTACTACGAATACCCTTACCTACTGGTTGACCTGACCTGACCTGACCCGACCTGGCCTAAATGCATGAAGACATCATCTGTGAACAAAACTAACATGATATTCGTGATCAGCACCCCGAAAACCCCTTAGCAGCCACGCTTTACGACTTTCTAACAGGTCCCGATTTTCCCGACTTTTGGGTAATTGACCTGACCTGGAAGGTCAACCGATGACCTAAGACCTTAACCCGGCAGGCGGTGGGCCTCCCGGCCACCTTCCGTGCGGTGGGGGGGGGGGCATTTTTTGCCCCCCGTATCTCAGAAACTACTGGACGGATCCGGAAAATTCAAAGGGCGTTCGATAGCCCTGTCAAATTTGTCGAAGGAAACCAAATTTCATTGACCTCAGGGTCACTGATGACATCACAGGTCAGGTCAAAGATAAAATGTTTCACCGTTCACGGGGCTTCTTGGGAAAGCGCTATAACACCGAGTAAAACGCATTTTGTCGAAAATCAGCGATAGGGCGTCACTTGTCTAGTACATATGTTGCTATTAGAGGTCACTGGTCATACCAGGTCAGGTCACAGGTCAGGTCACCGAAGGTCACCAAGGGTCACCACATGAACCCAACTTTACTAAGGTTGTGCGATGCATGTTGTATGGCCAATTTTTCTTTTCCAACTCAATGGTGCTGGTTATAAGACCATCAGGTACGGTTCAGGTCACTTACTGGTGGAGGTCAGGTCAAGGTCAGGTCAAAAAGGTCAAATTTCAAAGTTGTTAGATTTGCATTAAATGGATATTGATGCAGCTCGTCACGGGTAGTCTAATGGTGGTCTTTGTTTTGCGCTACGAGGTCTAGAATTGCTAAAAATTGAGTTTGAAAATTTGACGTCATCAATTTTGAACAGTTTTTTCGCTATAACTTGGCCAAAAAAAAGAGGTATCGGTCTCAAATTTGGTATGTAGATAGAAGGCAGTAGGAACTGGGGCATTCCACGATAGATCGTACCACTTTTTTCCAATTTGACACCCTCATCTCTCGGAATTTGACGAGAATTGGTCTCAGGGGTAATGAGGGGCTCTGAATCCACCTGTAACAATTTCAGGCTTATCAGATAAGTATTTTTTAAGTTATGGTGTATAACATTTTTTCGATCCTGCTTTGCAGCGCTAAGTTTGGCGGGCTGTAACTCTAAGACGGATTATTCAAATGCCAAATGTTGAATAACATTGAACATGCAATGAAACAGATATTAATATGTATTTTTGAAATTTCGAAAAATACGCTATTTTTGATATATGACATATCGAGTTTTCTTTCATTTGTATTTTTTGTACTTTGGGACCAAATTTTTTGGAATTTTTATTTCTTTAAAAAAACATTTGGCTCATTGTTAACCCCGCGCCCCACTGGGGGGGGCTATTTATAGCCCCCCTCCCATTTTTCTGCAATAACTTCCAAACCGCTTGACGTATCGACGCCAAACTTTCAGTACCTTAGGCTGCATCAATTTGACACCTTGTGTCAAAATTTGAACCTCGTACCT